ATCATGAGTGAATTTCTTGTTGGTATAATTATATCTCATTTCTGTTATTCCACTGAGCTGATTTAAATGTCTCAAACAGGGTGACAGCATTGGCTCAACCATTGAACAGAGCTGTTGAACCAGTTTGAGCCACTCAACTGGCTTAACTCACCCAAAACCTGTGTTCAGTCAGTAGTTTAAACCAGTTCAAGCTGCATATTTTACTACCTCATACACACATACATACCTGGCTTAGGCCGCTGTGAGCCTCCACTATGTGACAACTCTCGCGACCGCCCTTCTTCTGGTGAAACCAAGAACAGAAAAGAGAAGATGGAAACGAGGGACATAAAACAATAGTGCAGATGGACGGCGGAGAGGGACTTCAACAAGGCAGGAACTCCAGGATAAGAACACCAGCGGAACAAAGTCCATGAATACTCAGCGAGATAAGTATTGGTAAAGGCGTGGTTTCTACATAAAAAGTGAATGACATTCTTCACACGAAACGCTACTCCGCTGACTCCATACCCAATCCCCATCCTATTCGCGACTCCATCCATATAGAATCCCTTTTTCCTACACTCGTGCCCCCTTTTTCACAGTACTCTCTTTCTCCGCTGTGCCATTACTTCTGTGCTGACTTCACCTCATGTCACTGACCCTGTGTATTCCACCTCGATGTGATTCGCTCATGCTGCACCTCGCAGCCGCTACTCTGCACCCTTCCTTGTTGTGCGCTGACTTTGACTTTGCTTGCCCAACTCTGTTTGCCCAACTAGCACTTCACCTTACTTCGCGCCGCCGACTTCGTTTGCCCGACTCGTGCTCTGCCTCGCTACTTCACCCCGCACCTCCCTCACCTTGTGCCTCTCTACTTCACACAAAGGGACTTTGATCGACTTCGCCCGCCTGACTCGCTTGCACCTTGCCTGACTTCGCTCTCCCTCGTGCTTCCTCCCCTACACCCAGTGCTTCCCCTCTGCCTCGCGCTTTCCCTCCACCTCGCACTCCCCTCTGCCTTGCCTCCCTTCCGCTTTGCCAGGCGCCAAACGTAGCAATTCGAGTTATAAGGATGAATAGGGTATGGTTATGGAGCCTGGAGAATGGCCGTCAAGAAGGAATAGGGCAACCAAGTCAAGAAGGGTATCAATATGACGAGGAGATGAATTCTGTCAAGGAGGAATAGGCCAACCAAGTCAAGAATGGTATCAATATGACAAGGGGATGAATTCCATCAAGGAGGAATAGGCCAACCAAGTCAAGAATGGTATTGATATGATGAGGAGATGAATTCTGTCAAGAAGGAATAAACCAACCAAGTCAAGAATGGTATCGATATGATGAGGAGATGAATTCTGTCAAGAAGGAATAAACCAACCAAGTCAAGAATGGGATCGATATGACGAGGAGAAGAATTCCGTCAAGGAGGAATCAGCCAACCAAGTCAAGAATGGTATCGATATGACAAGGAGATGAATTCCATCAAGGAGGAATAGGCCAACCAAGTCAAGAATGGTATTGATATGACGAGTAGATGAAATCCGTCAAGGAGGAATAGGACAGCCAGGTCAAGAATGGCATTGATATGACGAGTAGATGAAATCCATCAAGGAGGAATAAACCAACCAGGTCAAGAATGGTATCGACATGACGAGGAAATGAACTCTGACAAGGAGGAATAGGCCAACCAAGACTAGGACGGTATCGACATGACAAGGGAACGAATTCCACAGCGAAAGAATGGCATGACCTACACGAAAACTGTGCTGAGGCACAGAGGTAATGAACTCCGCACTGGAGAGGGATCCACCAATTCAAGGAAAAGTATTAGGACAAAGAGGGAACAAGTACTATGGCAGAAGAGGAACTTGACCAGGTCAATTATGGAGCTATAGGAGTTCCTCCGTCAAAGAATGCTTCACCAACAAGGGCGAGGAGGAGAACAGACTCCTTCAGGCTTCAGGCCAAAAGAGGTAGGAGCTACCTTGTGGGCTGAAGGCAGTGCTAGAATAAAAGGTGCATGTCGGGATGATAGGCTGGTGGCTGAGCAAAGAGTATAAAAACCTAGCATATTATTCGAGAATGGCATCTTGTATTTCCCCACCTAAAATCCTAAGGCCCTCACAAGTCGAGAAAGAACTCTTCCTCCATCTTTGGACACGAGATGGACACAAACCGAAGTACCACAAAGTACAGGTTAACACAAGACCCAGAGTGCAAGGAGTGGCCAAACAGTTGCTTCCGGTAGGGAACTCCGACCAGAAAAAGGACCACGTTGTATAGGAGTTCCTGAAAACAATAAAATGCCACATACCGAAGGTGGAGTAGTATCTAAACAGCCAGCAACAGAATTCCTGTTAGCATGTAACTGTTCTGACTGAGTAGTATCGGAAGGCAATTAGTCTTTGACTTCGGACAACTCAGAGAAATCCAGTCCTCATAGCCATCTACCAACCGGTGCAGTTACCTCATTAGTGAATAACTTGCATCAAGGTTCAAGCGGAGACATAAAGAAAAGGGTCCCAAAGGAAGGGAATTGCGGAGTTTAGGCTACAAGATTTGAAACAGATCCCGAGGTCCCGCATATTTAACAGAGATGAAGATCAAAATGGAGAAAAATAACCGAAGCATAGAAAACCTACCCACTGCACAGAGCAATGCCCAGAGAACAGAACACAACTCTATCCACAACTCCTCCTGTCCTTCCTCAAAAGGAGCCTGTATAGGATACGCAATCGAGTGATCAGACCCTGGAAGGCTGAAAAGGAGCGAACTCCATACCCCCCAGTGCACTAAGGCTTCTCAGTGCTCCATGCTGAAAGCCTGTAAATAACAGATCCTGCCCACCCATCTAAAGATCTATCCCTTGTAAAACTTAACCCATCGTACTTCGATGGAATAAAAACCCCTCGACACTTGCTACACAAATTTCCCCCAAGAGGACGATACCTTTTCTGCAGTATTGTATCAATGGACGTAACATTCATCTGAAAGTCAAGAAACTGCAGTCCACATCACACCACTTAAGTCATGCTTTGCTGTAACTTTGAATCGCTACAACACATTTGGCTTAAGCCAACATGAACAGGATTTATAAAATTCAATTGACAATGATTGAACTATAGGAACTTGAGCATAGAAGGCAAACACTATCACACAGTCCTATTAAGGGTGGTCTGCCAGTGATGGTGGATGACACTTTACCCACTCAGTACCATGAACAAATGTATTATATGAAAGCAAAGTTTGCTGTCTGCCAATTATGAGTTTGTGTCAAGAGGCATCCAGAATCCAATTCTGTGTTGATGAGGCAGCCAGAAGAGCAATTGACCAGTGCTAGACCGGACCCAGCCTTCCTGAATAGTCCAAAAAGGATGGACAGGCTATTACCCCTAATACAATGCTACTGTAATTTTTTCGCGAATTTACACACATTTTTGAGGCTGAGGCGACTTGCGGTGGCGCTGCTGGTGGTGGGTTTGATGGCTGTGATGGTGCGATGGCTGCGTGCCATCTCTGATGGGAACAGCCGGATAACCAGCCGCTGATATCACTGATATCAGCAATTATTTGCATTAAAGTTACCTTAAATCGCTGCAATTAACACACTAACAGCTTATATTAGAGGGGGAGCACGTATACTGCTACGCCTCTTATTTAAGGTGTTGTGTGGGATGTATAGGTGGCCGGTTAATCCGTCCTGAGCTGACATCATCACATGATCTATCGCTTTGCGTTGAGATGGTGCAACACCAAATGCCCGTCCTCTAGCTATTTTTTGCGCTTATAAACACATCATTAAGAGGCACAGGATAGCTTCAGTGTTATACAAACATAGCTGTATACCTGAACTCTGTTAGGTGATATAAAGGAGAGTCAGAGCGAGCACCGACTACTGACTGCAGTATTCAGAGCACGGCCATGGTGTCACTGTGGCATGTTGTACTCTGAATACACTACTAAGGAGATATATCCATACACGCCTATAACCGAATCAAGGGATCTATTCCTATAAAAGCGAACCAAAGACTGCAAAGATGAAGTTGCGAGACTTAGCATGTTGCGCGGTACATTAAACTGCATAAGAGAGCGACCATGGTACCGCTGCAGTGCCTCTCTGCCACACCTGCTAATACCAACTAACCTGTCTAACTAGACGGGACATGTCACCCTTATGGCGCGTCTAGTTAGACCAAAGCCAGGCCAAGAGTGCCCCTTGGATACCCCGCTGCAACCGGCGTGACATGGTGGGACATGTCCACTGGCTCCCCATGAAAAGCTCCTCAACCAGGACGTTTCACGCTTAAAAAGGGGGGTAACGGTGTCGACCGTGGGTGGGACGTAGAGCCTCGATGAGCAGGAGGGGGAGAGCTACTGGGGGTAGCAGGACACAATGCCAAGCGGGATGTTGTCCTGACCCCCGCTGCGACATTGGGGGCTATTAAGTGGGACATAAGGAACAGGTATTGGTGGTAGCAGGACACCGAGGTAAGCGGGACATAAGGAACAGATATGGATGGTGGCAGGACACAGGGGCAAGCGGGACATAAGGAACAGGTGTAAGTGGTAGCAGGACGCCGGGGTAAGTGGGACATAAAGAACATATGGATGGTAGCAGGACGCAGGGGCAAGCGGGACATAAGGAACAGGTATGAGTGGTAGCAGGACGTCGGGATAAGCGGGACATAAGGGACGTAGGAGTAAGCGGGACATGAAGAACAGGTATGGACAGTAGCAGGACCGAGGGGTAAGCGGGACATAAGGAACATGGATGGGAGGACCAAGTGGTAAGCGGGACATAAGGAACATGAACGGGAGTAGGACAGCGGAGTAAGCAGGACATGAGGAACAGGTATGAACAGGAGCAGGACAGAGGGGTAAGCAGGACAAAAGGAAGAGGTATGAACGGTGGGAGGACCGAGGGGTAAGCAGGACATAAGGAACAGGTATGAATGGGAGCAGGACAGAGGGGTAAGGGGGACAACGGAGCGGGACAAAAATGGAGACCCTCAAAGGCATGGCTACAGTGGGAATCGAACCCATGGCACCTCAATCGGAGGAAGTTTCTCCTGCATTCAATCAAGGAGTGTTACCATTACACCATGTTGCCACAAAAAATTATTCTTTTTTCCTGTAATGCCAGGGACATAAGGAACAGATGTGAGTGGTAGCAGGATGCAGGGGCAAGTGGGACATACAGAATAGGTATGAGTGGTAGCAGGACACCAGGGTAAGCGGGACATAAGGAACAGATGTGAGTGGTAGCAGGACACAGGGGCAAGCGGGACATAAGGAACAGGTATGAGTGCTAGCAGGACGCCGGGGTAAGCGGGACATAAGGAATAGATATGGGTGGTAGCAGGACAGATGAGTAGATGGGACATAACCAGTAGGTACCGGTCGTAGCAGGACACACGGGTAAGCGGGACATAAGGAACAAATATGGGTCATAGCAGGATATATGAGTAGGCAGGACATAAGGAATAGATATGGGTGGGAGCAGGACAGATGAGTACACGGGACATAACCAGTGGGTACCGGCCGTAGCAGGACACACACGAGTAAGCAGGACATAAGGAACAAATATGGGTCGTAGCAGGACATATCAGTAGGCGGGACATAAGGAACAGTCTGACTGAAGCGGAACATTTAGATGCCATGGCATGGGACCAAAAATGGTGTGTCCGAAGGAAAGTCCGCAGTGGGATTCGAACCCACATCACCTCAATCAGATGAGGTTTCTCCTTTACTTGATCGAAGTGTGTTACCATTACACCATGTCGACGACAACACAGTTGAGATACTGTCCGAGGCATCACCCACTGAAGCGGGACACTTAGATGCTGTGGCGCGGGACCAAAAATAGTGTCTCTGAAGGAAAATCCGCAGTGGGATTCGAACCCACATCACCTCAATACAGTATGATATTATCGATCTACTCCATCGAAGCGTGTTACCGTTACACCATGTGGACAACAACACAGTTGAGATACTGTCCGAGGCATCACCCACTTAGGCAGGACATTGAGAGAGGGTGGTGCGGGACACAAAAACAAGCTCCAAAAGTAAGTCCACAGCGGGATTCGAACCCACATTATCTTGATAATGAGTCAGGCAAGGTGATATACAATCAAGGTGTGTTACTGTTACACCATGTGGACGCAACATGTTGCGATAAAAAAGGGTGACCATCAGGGCCTTATTGGGAATCGAACCCAAGCTGGCTGCTTAAACGGACAGTGCCTAGACTCAGTGCAAGTAGAAGCAGCAGTGCATACCGTTACACCATAAGGCCGTCAGCAACATGGTATTTGAGTGAGGGTTCCCACGTGTAATTGATTATCTTCCCTATGTCGCTCCTTATCTTCCTTAGTCCCGATAACCTTATGTCCCTCCTTCCCTTGTCCCGATTAACCTCGAGCCCCTCGTTATCCTCCTTATGTCCCGATAACCTTATGTCCCTCTGTATCTTCCTTGTGTCACGCTTTTTTATTATTTTAAATGGCCCTATTGGGAATCGAACCCAACATAGCTGCTGAAGCATTGAAAACACAATTGATCTTTAACAGCGGTGCATACCACTGCACCATAGGGCCGCTACCAACACATCTTTGAGTAAGGGTTCCTTTGTAATTATGTTGATGTAATTGATTATATTCCTTATGTCCTGATTAATCTTGTATCCCGCTACTATGTCCTGCTTATTCCTCTGTCCCGCCACCCATCTTCCTTATGTCCTGCTCAATTCATGATGAAATAAAAGATCAGTATACATTACAAGGCCAAATCAGTCCTCCAACGCAATGTAAATCAAATGTAACTCCTCCGCCAACTGTGCGTCCTCCGTGATGTCACCCAGATCGTCATCAATCTCCTGCTCCACATCATGTACTCCTATGTTCTCCATCACCCTAGCAAGCTGAATGGCAGTGGCCTCTGCATCGGTTTGTGCGGGCTCCTCCACACCCTCCATTGGCTCGGCATTCTGGCTGCGTGGGCTCAATGCCACGCCCGGAACGAGTGTCCCTGTGAACCAGGATCCAGCCTTGACCGCGAATTTATTCAGGCGTTGGAGATGGATGGTGTCATAGTGTTCGCGCTGTTGACGATGGCGTCAAACACACCAGGCGAGGCCTGGGTCAGTCTCAGCGATCTTCTTCTCCCGGGACACCAAGAACTCCCCCTCATCCCTAATGTGAGTCACAAGACGCCGTATTTCAATATCACACCGCAGAATCTCCTCCCGGGCACGTTCAATCTTGAAGTAGGTGTCTATGAGGAGCCTGGCTGCAGGGTCCGCCCATGCTCGAACCTCAATACCCCTCTCTGGATGGCGAAGGAGGTCGAAGTCCGAGAGGAACACATACTCCACGACCTCCGACCAAGCAAGCTTCCTCCCAGGGGTACCATAGCAGCGGCTGCGATGTTGTAGCTTTTAAGTGCCGTTCGAATAGCCTGGGAGCGGGCCTGCAGAGCCTTGGCGATATGCTTGTGAAGTTTGTAACCTAGAGACAGTTTAGAGTGGAGATCAGCGAAAAAAAAACAAAGGAAATACCTGTTTGCGACATATTCATCTTGGTGAGCTCGAACATCCGCTGCACCACAAGCTTTTCCAATTTCATCAGTGCTAGACGGTATCTCTTTGTGCTGACCAGATGTGCTGCATCTGCCCATTCCTGGCTCCCTGACAGCCAGCGGACATCTACTCCCATTTTACTTTCCGACTCTTGTACATCCACCAACACCGTGTCGTAGTTCTCACAGGCGTGACGCTTCGTGCTCGCAGAGGTCCAGGATGCCTCACCCAATGCGAGGTCGAGCTTGGCCCTAGTATTGCAGGACATAAGGCAGCAGTGTCGACAATGTAGCGGGACACAGAGGCAGTGAGCGGGACACAAAGCAGTGGTGTCGAATGTGTAGGGGGACACGGCGGTGGTGGAGCGGGACACAAGGCAGCAGTGTCGAACATGTAGGGGGACACAGCGTTAGTGGAAGCGGTGTCAAAAGGTAGCAGGAAATGGGGGCGGTGAGGGGGCCAAGGCAGCGGTGGCGAAAATGTAGTGGGACACGGATGGTTGTGAGCGGGGCACAAGGCAGCGGTGTCGAAGGTATAGTGGGATACGGGGGGGTGGTGGGCAGGACACAAGGCCGTGTCGAAGGTGTAGCGGGACACGGGGTCAGTGAGCAGGACAAAAGGCAGTGGTGTCGAAAATGTAGCGGGACACGGAGGCGGTGAGCGGGACACAAGGCGGCAGTGTCGAAGGTGTAAGGGGACACGGGGTGGTGAGCAGGACACAAGGCGGTGGTGTCGAAGGTGTAGCGAGACACAGGTGGGAGGTGATGGAAGTGGCAGGACAATTGAAGTGAGCGACTCGAAAGGGAAATAAAACAGAATTACTCACTTGCGATCAGCGAGGTTGACCAAACGCTGATAGTACTGCATCTGTTGAGTATCTTCTTCAGTGTCTGAGGTCAGGCTCCGCAGATACTCAAGTTCGGCCTTGAGGCAGGCCGGGAATTCCTCTTGACTCTTAATTCCTGCTGCTACCATCGCGATCTTGAGTGCGCCCTCTCCATCTAGAACCTCCAATGCCTGCCAGTAGTTATCAACCAGGAACTTGCCTAGATACATTTCAGTATGAAGAATATACTTTTTGCGAAAGAAATTACTTAGGTTCGCGTAAGTCTCGTGAGTGTTGGAGTGCGCAAAGTAGGTCGACAGTGTTTGGAGCCTGTGGAAGGTGCTTGCATACCGGACTGAGCCCGCCATGGTGTTCGACCTGGAAAAGAATCTTTCACATCCCTCAAGGTCTTCGAGGCCCATTCCGAGGACATATCGGGCCAGGAAGAGTAACTGGCAGAGTCGGTTGTGCGCATGCCCATGAAAGGCTCCAACAAGACAAGAAAAATTCTGCAGAAGAGCCTTTTGTCCAAGTGGGCTATTGAACAGCGTGATAAGGAAGCCACACCCTATGTCATATCCGAAGCCAATGGCTCGACCAAAAGCATCGAGGAGCTCATTGGCAATGGCAAGAGGATATTTTGATCTGTGAATCAACCCATTAGTGGCAGCCATGTGCAGAAGGACGACTTACAGCTCCCTGCTTTTAATCATATCCGCCACCAGCAATACGAAACCATGCCTACAAAGGCAAATGAACACTCTGGTCTCATCATAGATTCCCCACATCTTTTTCGTGATATCCTCGGACAGATTCTTCCATCTCTCTTCGCATGCAGTCTTCGTTTTCTTGCTGTCCTGCTTGAATCGGTCAGAACCAAACTCGGGGAGGGAAATATGTGACTCACCGTGGGAGGATCCCCCTCACCGGCTGCCGGAATCATGAACTCTTTGAATCTATCCTTCACCCATCGGTTAACCTTCTCTCGTGACAGGAAGTATGGTTCTCCAGCCATTGCTGCCCGTGGGTCGAATCGCTCATTGGACTGCACTGGAATTGGATTTCCCTCATCATCATACTCGTTGGCACCTCGGCGAAGAACGCGCTTCAAGGAATCATTTCCATCGGCGGTCACGAGCATAGAAAACACGAGCTCCACCTCACCTTCTAGCTTGTACATGCAGGTGGGGCAACAGTTCTTCAAGCGCCAATCAGGTGCATCTTGACCGATGGCCTTGTCCACCCGTTCTTTGATGCCGTGGAGGATGGCCAGATAAAGGTCATACGCCACTGAGAATTGCTGGACGCAGTACAGTTTGAATGGGAGGCCGTGGAGGTCGGCGAGAGTCTTCATCCAGCTTTGAATGGCTAAAGTCGGAGTGCGTAGATGGGCAACCCGAAACAGCTCCAGTACACGGGTAGAGAAGCCGACAGTAGGGGTCCAGGGGGCACAAGGTATTACACCTTGGCTTACCAGGCAGGAGGTTGTAAACTTGTCGGTGTAACGCATGTGTATGCTGCGTGAGGATGTGGCTGTCGACGGTTAACAGAAATAACAGCCTTTGGGAGGCACAAGACATACTGAATACGTCCACGAGCGTGATTTCATACTGCTTCTCTACCAGAGGCGTCTCAGGGGTGGAAGTGCTGACTCCAAATTGTCCTCTACCTGAAGACCCCATTCCACATATGCATCGATGATCGCGTGCATTTGGGGTGCAAATGCGTGCACTTGCTTCGCGATGATGTCCCAGCGCTTTCTACATTCTTGTGCGTGCCTGTCACATAGTTATCATAGTCCAAGCTGAACACGTATTTGGTCACAGACTTACTTTTTATTTTGGGTCTCCCGCTCCCCACAGATTGCATCCTCAAGCGTGTCGCGAAGCTCTCCTGCACCACTGGCCATAAACCCATCACGCCCGTTCATGGCAGCGTCTACGTCATCCTCCGGGGCACCGGGTACATCCTCCCAGTCCATGGGATCTGTGTCGTTGGTTGGATCTGCGATGTCCCGCACATCGTTAAACGCGTGACGTGCAGTAGCAGTCAATACTAACGGACACCATGAGTAGCCAGAATTTCTTTCAGGCAAATTGTACTCACCTTCGTATTGGTCCTGCATCTCCTTCTGGGCTTGGTCGCGGGTTACTTGAGAGGCTTGCGGTTTGACTGATGTCAGAAGTTGGTGCCTGGCTCCAGTGTTAGTGAACATGCTCATTGAACTCCGTACATGAGGCGGGCAAACAGGGATGCCTAGTCCCTTTTTCTTGCCGTTGGCCATGGGCCACTTGATGGATGGTTGGTGGCTGACACGTGAGTCATGTCCCATCGCACTGATGATGGTGGGTGTGGCGGGACTGAGCTGCAGGTGAGTGTGGTGAGGCAGGACACATGACTTGCCAGGTATAGCAGTGGTGTAGCAGGACACTGTGTCGTTACAAAGGGTTATATCTTGCTTGTGAGTGAAGTTGCGGCACAGAAATGCAGAGGAACTTGCGAGCAAGGCACGTTTGCAGATGGCGAGGTGCGTTGACCAGGATTCGGTCATATGCCAAGGAGGGGTTCGCTAGCTGACCGGTTTTCACGTTAAATAGGCTCAGAAAGGAGGTGAAGAGCGATACTTCCAGGATGGCCATGGCAGCGCGGCAGCATCGGAACTGGGACGCAGAATATAGGGCGAGGTACAGGCTTGATCCCTCCATGGGCGCACATCGGTTGATTACCCAGAGGCAGACACAAGGACACCAGGAACTTCAAGAGTATTCTCTGCTGCCACGATGCCTATTACTGACAGAATGGCAAGCAGTACATCGAGCCCAAGGTCCGTGATTACCAGGAAGCCTTGAAATGGCTTGAGGAAGAGCGGTGGTTGGCAAAGATGCCCGAGCATGTTCGCCAGAGGAATAAGGGACAGGCGGGAAGGGTCTGGTAACGGCGGACAGTTTCTGTAGGCCCGTTCACTCGTGTTAGAAAAAAAATCATTTCTGGAGCTCAATATCTCCCGCCCCACCGTGAACTGTGTGTCCCGCCTCATTGCAGAGAAACGGGACACAGTCCCGCTCACCGCAAACACTTTCAAAAACATTCCATGTGACCAGTGGCAGTGCATTTGGTTTCTCTTTCTTTTCACCCTGTACTACTGCGACCCGCCGCTCCACGCTGATCCTGGGTTCAATATCGAGACAGCGAGT